TCATTCAATAGATGCAGATGAAAACAATACTGAGTTTCCACCTCACCCCAGAAAGAATGGCTGCTATCATGAAATCAACCAATAACCAATGCTGGCAGGGCTGTGGGGAAAGAGGAACACTGCTCCACTGCTGGTGGGAGTGTAGACTGATGCAAGCACTGTGGAAATCAGTATGGAGATACCTCAAAGAATCAGGACTGGAAATCCCATTTGACCCAGCTATTCCCCTGCTGGGGATCTTCCCCAAAGAATTAAAAGAATCATACCATAGTGATATATGTGCACCCATGTTTATAGTGGCAGAGTTTGTAATAGCTAAAACTTGGAAACAACCCAATTGCCCATCAACTGGAGACTGGATAAAGAAAATGTGGGTTTTTAAAAAAAAAATAAAATGGCATATTACTCAGCCATGAAGAATGAGAAACTAGAGATATTTATAGCTAAATTTATTTATAACTAAATAAATGGATGCACATTAAGGTAATACTTTTAAGTGATATAAATAGGACACACGTGTAAATACCGAATAGTCTCTCTAGTGTGAGAAACTGAAAGAGTAAATAAGGACTAAAATGTATAATAATGTGAAATAGGAAAAAAAGGGGCAGAGGGGAAGGGGAAAGGGGATGGGTAGGGGATAAGAAAGAAGGGAATGGAATTAATATGAGAAAAAGAAAAAATAGAAACAAAGTCTTTGTAGATAGGGAGGGATGGAGGGGTTGAAGTGAGGGCAGGGAAATGGGGAAAAATAAGAACCAAGATGGATTATGTAAAGGTGCAAATTTCCAATGATGAATGTCATATTGTATACCTTAAATGTACCAATATAATTAATAAAAAATGAGAACATATTCTTCTTTTGGCTTTGAGTCCTTCAGGTGATGTTACTAGTAAAAATCAATTAACACCTGCTGTGTGTTGGACATTAAATATCACAGTCTTCTCTAAGATCAACTTTTCATTAAATATAAGCACTGTTAGGAAAAAAGAAAAGGAGAGACAGAGGTGCGAGCTCAACAGGACAGGTTTATTTCAGAACAAACCTGGGAGGGACTGCTCTACCCCTAGAGACCAGATCAGCAGCTCTGTCCAGGCCTGGGGTCTTTTGTAGGGTCATAGGGAGGAGAAGGCTCAGTGAGAGCGGTCTGGGCTCCCTGCCAAGAACAAGGCAATAGTTGCCAGAGAGCAGAGGCTGCTCTCAATGGCAGGGCTGATAATGTTCTGAGTCCCCAGGCGCAGCTGTGCTGTGGGGTCTCTCATCAGGATGGTGACAGTCAGATTCCTTCAAGTACAAACAAAATCAAACTGTTATCACACCCCACAGTAGTTTTTAACTTGTTTCAAAGATCCCCCCCCCCAGCCTATTTTTTTTTACTTTTTATTTTGTGACAGGATCTCAGTTAAGTTTCCCAGGCTGGGTTTAAACTTGTGAGCTGCCTGCCTCAGCCTCCTGAGTGGCCGAGATTACAGGCATGTGCCACCAGGCCCAGATACTACATATTTTAAACCAACAACAACAACAACAACAACAAAGATTTAGTGAACATTCCTTGGAGGTAATTCTAATTTGTTCAGCTAACAATGGCTGAAGCTTCTGGGTAAAAGCTACAAGTCTCTTGGACTGTTTAAATTTTGAATACAGTCATGTTAAATATAATTATTATTACAAAATTACATGTCTAGCCTGAAATCAGAACAACATTCAGCCTTGGTTTCCTACTACTTAGGAAGAATCACATTTTCTCCCCATTTAAAGAATGGATAACAAATCATCTCCGAGTAGGTAACAAAGCAGAAAGAAGAAAGCCTGCCTTGGTTTTGCACTGAGAAATGTGGCTAGGCAGTCCCACGTCCAGGTGAGCGGCTGCTTTTCTATTCTAGGCCCCATTTTTTTTCTGCTAAAGTCAACACAGCCGTTGGGCCACCACCTTGACCTTTCTTCACACGTTTCCCCAAACCGCTCAGGCGCCGCTTTTCAAACGCAGGGGCGCAGCAGATCGTCTGGAGTTTGCAAAAATACCAAAGACCCGTCTCTGGCTGAACTTCTGCTTTAATTGGAGCGAGGCGGTGCTCTTCTAGCAACTACTTTGTAGGTAATCAGCCAATCGGTGTGCCATTTTCAGCTTTCTCGGCTTTGTCACCCGCTACGCGAGGCTGTTTTGATTGTCAGGTCTTTGTGGCGAGCTGGTTCCGCACCGCAGTTTCCCAGCGCGCGGCGCCTAACCCACTTGCTTCTCCCTCCTTTCTCCGCGGGACTGAGCACTACTGAAAACGCCCGAGAAAAGACAGCGGGTCCTGCCGTCGTGGTTCCATTGAGAATTTATGCTTTAGTTTTTCATATCTCTACATCTTGTAAAAAAAAAAAAAAAAAAA